ACTCTCCTTTGCTGCCACAAGTGGACTCGTACAAGTTTGGGGGATTTTCGTTGCTGTTGATTTTCTGGCCGTGAACGTAAACATTGTACTTCGCACGCTACTCTTGGATTGGCGCTTGAGTGTGATCTTTCTGACGACCCATGTTATCTTGTACAAACGCCACCCGACCACATGCCGAACTGTAGGCTAGGCCTAATCAGCGTTGGTTGCTTTTCAGTGGCGGTCGCGGGCAATCAAAGTTGCGGTTTCGTACGGAATCGACGTAACCATTTGCGGTGGCTCTGCTTCATGGAAATGGGGCATAGGTGGTGCTTGTAACACTCGAATAGTGGTTCGCAATTCAATTGCAAAGTCTTTGAATATGGGGTGCCAGCCCATAAAATCGAACTATCAGGATCGTTCAGTGCACGAAATTTCGATGGTGTCTTGAAGTGTAATCAGGGAATTTCCAGGATGGCGCTTTTTTTTTTCGTAGGTTTTTTTAGCATTGATTTTGTTAGCAAAAGAAGCCTTTCGATTTAAATTTTTTAAATTTGAATGCAGACCGCATCGCATGCCTCAATTTTCGGACATGCGAGACTAGATGCTCAACAAACACATTTTGCACTAGTGTAACCTATGAAGAAGGTTGCTCGGGCTGTAGTGCGGATATTCGTGACTTTGGTAAGTTAGGTTATCAGCGGTCTGCGTGCAGTCGGAAACAAAATTTTCTGAAATTTTACCCCGCGTAACAGGCGCACCCCGAACTTGGCCACGAATTTTCCGGAAAAAAAAAAAGTTCCCGTAATATGGGAGTAAATACGGTGTATCCTGCCATAGCTGAACTAATGCACTGCTGATTTTTGTTGTCCTGGTTAAGCTAACTTAATAAACATGAAGTTGCTTACATAAGTAAAATGATGTGGGTGATGAGATGTCATGAGCTTGCAAATGCCAGTGAGAGTAATTTAGTAGAAGACCCTAAAGCTCATTTAGTTGTTTGCCTGTGGCCTTGTGACTATCACCCAACCGTCTGGTTCAAGGGTTGCCTTGCTTTCTGTTGTTTTGCATAGTGGTTGCATTAATTTTTGCTCAGTAACTCTTACATATTGTGACATCGCAATTATAAGACCATGTGCTGTCAAAAAGCGGCTGCAAAAGCGTATACTATGTTGGGACTACAGAAACGGAGTTTATATATGCTTCGTCGACGCCCTGATTCTGCAGTGTCTGCATGACTGCTGATATTGCTACTGAATAAAACGCCTTCTCATAGTCTATCAAGGCTATGTATAGTGGTGGGCTATATTCTGAGCATTTTTGTATTACCTGATTGATAGTATGAATGTGATCGATTGTTGAGTAGCCTGTTCGAAATCCTGCTTGTTCCGTTGGTTGATTGAATTCTAATGTTTTCTTAACTCTGTTAGCAATTACCTTTGTAAATATCTTTTATACTACGGAGAGCAAGCTGATCGGTCTGTATTTCTTCAAGTCTTTGTCATCTCCTTTCTTATGTATTAAGGCTGCTGTCTTCAGCGTGTTGGCTTTTCTGTCCCTGCATTATCTGAGTCTTTTCAATGGTAATTGCAGATTGTTGCAAATGAAGTCAACGTTAGCTTCTTTGCACTCGCCAGGTGGTCCATGAAATTGTCCAAGGAAACCCAATTCGTACCTTTTTTTATTCTGCTGAAGCGATCAAAGCACCCCAGCAGTGTCCGAAACCACTTCAATGCATCGCAGTGCACTCAACAGGTATTTGGTTCGTGCCCAGTACTGTATTCAGTACTGGCTGCAAACCCTGCCTAACTAATGCTAACCGCCAATTGCAAACCTGCGTCTCATGATGAGCTTTGCCGATGCGGCAGACATAAAATTAGAGGCAAACAAAAATTTACGGCTTTCTCACAGAGCATTCGGAAACGACTAAGGCTGTGGCAGAAGCGCAGATGACTCGTGCGGCTTTTCTCGATGCGGTAATGCGCAAAAATTATTGCTGACATGCCACATCTATTTTCACGTGAAGCTCATCGTTTATGGTTCTGCGCAGCGTGTTGCCTAGTATTGTCACGTCCGGACACTTGCTTGTATCCTACGCGTGCAATTGCAGTGAAAGGGTTCATTATAGCATGCCTACTCTGTTCATGACTGCACGCAGGCAGGGCAAAGGCGTGCTACTTTTGTTTGTCAAATTATCCTAACCTAACCTAGCCTAACCGAACATAACCTAACCGAAACAGGTCTGTGCAGAACTCTTAGCAGTCTTGAAGAAGCAGCATGAATGACAGCGAAGCATGACTGGCTTATTGCATAATAAATGCATGTAGTATGCCTACAGCTGCGCTAGGGCACATATGCTGCCGAGCAGTTGGCTTAAGATGCTTATCATAAGAGTTGTCTGCAATTTAGCTGTACTGACACGTTTTCCACCTGCCACCATCATGCCTTCGTGCATCGCCGGTGCTTATCCGTAAAGACCGTAGCCTTCTCAAATTTTTTGCTTACGCTTCACTCCATCACACTTTGGCGTTGAGAAAAAGCTGCCTTTTAGAGTTTCTTTCAGTAGCATGTGGATCGACTTACAGAAGTGCCGCATCGAATCTACGTGATAATAGACAGCAGATGGGGCGGGCTTTGAATAATGCTGTTTAGAACTTGCAGTCTGGGCAGAAAATTAAAAAAAAATGCCCGATCGGACTTGCGATGGTTCTCAAGTTTGCAACGGTTCTCAATTTTCAAGTACACTCAAACCTCGATATAAAGGAATATTGGTTATAAAATAAAAAATAGTATTGCAATAACTATAGTTAATATTAGGAAGAAACCTCTATAACCAATTTTTGATTTCCAGGAACTTATCTTCGTGTAAACTGCAGTTTTGTTATTATGATGTTTTAGTATGTCTGAAAATAAGGCATCCAAAAAATCGATCGTTGACTGTACCAGCCGTTACTAAAAACATGTTCTTCTCTAGTCAGTAGTTGGGACCGTTTTCTATTAGCAAGTGGGCTGCCATCAACGCTGTCTGTTTGTTTCTTATTGACTTAAGCAATAACACAGGTTTTTGTCATTATTGCAAGGAGACAAAAGCATTATAATTTCTATAAATAAAAGCCTGTGGTCAAAGAGTTCCATGTGGAACACAGCTGATTTCAGTTATTAATGTGCAACTTCGCTTTTATGAAAATTCCCAGATATACGATACTTTAGTACTGTCTTCAGGAACTTGTGACTCACAGTATTCAAAAGTTGCTTATTGAGCCTGAAGTAACTCTGACAAACTATTAGAGCGTATTGCATTATAGATTGTGTACTCCAATGTCAATATTATTTAACTTTACATTTTTGCAGAAAGCATTTAACTTGCTTGTAGATTATGGCTGTTTATGGTGTAGTTGAAATGTAATTTATTTAATGGCACGTTATAAGGGACAGATACCTTAAAATTTCGTGGTGGTGGTGGTGTTAAAGCGAAGAGGGAATGCTTTGAGCATTGCAGTAGATAAATTTGCAGGTGGAGAAATTGTTGAAAGAAAAAATTCGGCAGATCCCACATACCTTGGGAATCTGTTCTTATGCAAAGCATGTGCATACAAGTTGACTGTGTTGTAATTTTTTTATTGAGTAAAAAGTTACGAAGTTGCGCTAAGGATATGTACAAATGCGCTTCCAAACATACATTAAAAAGCCGCATATGTTTGTTATTGCCAGTTGTTTACAGTTGCGTTACGATGCCAACTGCAACATGGATATTAGCACCACCGGAGGCGGTAAGCTGATATAAAGTGCTGCTGCTTGCGAGGATTGTGACCCTGGACACAGCTACATAAATAAACATAAGCGGATGACACCTGACTACATTTGATGTTAACCCGACGTGACTGCTCTATTTTAGGAGTATATATGTATTGTTTATGAAACTGGAAAGCCAGCACTGCAACCACAATTTGCGTTTCACGAACATTAGGGTCTAATTGAAAGGTAGTTCTGAGACCTGGCGTTGCTCTGTTGTAGAATACTTGATTGGCATGCAGAATGCTAGGGTTCGATTCCTGCTGGGAAAATGGCATATACTCTCTTCATTTGTCCTGTCAACACTGCCGATGGCTGCTTTTTCTTGACGATCAAGAGTTGAAATCACCCATATTTGTTCTCGTCGTTCCTAGGTAGATATAAAATGTCAAAACACCTGTGGCATGTACCCGCATACGAGTAGCACATATTCACCCCTGCCTGGGTATGTGCTACTGTTTTTCCGAAAGTGTTTGAGAAAATGACTGGATTGTGGCGTTTTTCATGCTATGACCAGTGTGTCGTATTTGTTAAACTATTTCACCCTGCCATGCCAATTTGGGTTAACTTCAAGCACCCCAAGAGAGTTCACTCCAAGAGAGTGCAGAGACGTAAGGGACTAGATGGATAGATACACATATAGACGCTCAAAGTGCCTACGCCTCGCCGTGGTGGTTCAGTGGCTAAGGTACTCGGCTGCTGACCCGCAGGTCGCGGGATCGAATCGCGGCTGTGGCGGCTGCATTTCCGATGGAGGCGGAAATGTTGTAGGCCCGAGTGCTCAGATTTGGGTGCACGTTAAAGAACCCCAGGTGGTTGAAATTTTCGGAGCCCTCCACTACGGCGTCTCTCATAATCATATGGTGGTTTTGGGACGTTAAACCTCGCATATAAATCAAAGCTTGAAGTGCCTATGGTACGCAAGGAAATGCTTCACATTTAATACCTGTTTAATGAATGTTGCTTCATAATCTCATAAGCAATGACCAATTATGAGTAAATATTGCTGCTTAATGTGTTATCAGAATGTATGTTCGGCCCCTTTGTTATGAATGCCTGTCTGTACACGGCAGTTGTACCTGCAATTTCTGTACACGAAGCCATTTCAACACTGTGGCTGTACAGCAGCAGGACATTATTAATGTCAATATTTAACATGCTAATAAATGAAGGGCTGTACTGACACAATCTAATTTGCTCTCTTAATTCAAATATTTGATTCCATGCAGAGCTGTCCCTTGCAGAGGAGCCAAGCGAAGATCTGTTGATCAACCAACGACCCCCGTGGGACTCCTCCATGAGCGACCTGTCTAACTTGGATGGATCGGACGATGCGGACTCCCTCAGGTCGGAGAGCCCCGCCAGGAAGTCCTCCACCATGGCTAGTGCCAGTCTGAACTTCGACCTGAATGCCAACAGCAACCTCCGCCCGCTGCGCAACACCGCCATTGTCGAAGACTCAAACGCCAATAGGAACGCTGGCACGAACTTGGCACCTGCAGCCAATCACCACCAGGCTTAGGGCAGTGCATGCGAAATGTGTTGTTTTGAACGCCGAGACTGCCTGGCACTTTCATGAAGGTCCCTCCCTCTTCTAGCAGTAAAACAGGGACTTGCCGTTTCGAGTGGCCGAGAGACACATCGAAGAAAAGACTTTCGACTGTCTCCAGACTATAAGAGGATTTCTAAAAAACGGTAGTCACATTGCCTTGTTTGCTGGAGGGTTTGCCAAGCCAGCACTTGGGGAGTCCGTGCAGTGGTGCTGCGATGACTAAGGCTGCGGTGACCATAGGTCGTCAGTAACCTCGTCACGTTGAAGACCAGCCATCGAGTCAACAGTCCATTGTCGTACACACCATAGTCATCTCCTGTACTTTGAACTGTGCGAGTGTCGGGCAAGTTGGAGATCTGGTGAAAGGGTCTTGTATGCTCCTGTTTGCATACGTTCCAATGCTCTAATGGCATGGCCATGCACGACCTGTCAAGATGCTGTCTACAAAAAGCTGAACAATGAATAAGAATGTTTGCATCTGTGATTTTAAAACAATGTGTTATTGAAGGACTGTAAAGTTGTGTCGCTGTTTCGTCATCCTTGGCACCTGCCGTCGTTTCTCCTCTCGGGGCCTGTGCGACGCATGTACGAGCTCTCTGAGATGGTTCTGCAACGAGCTGCGCAGGCCGTTGTGCCAAGAAGTCCGGTCACTTTGTGACCTTCGAGTTCCCAAATGAAGTCCGCACCCTCAGGTTTACCAGTCATGTACAGACACTTTTCGTGTAATCCCATTTACTTGCCCATTCCTTCGTGTTGTGTCGCCACGTTTGATGCTCTCTTCCGAGAACTGAGCATCGTCCACAACGCTCGACTACCATTTCCGAGAAATATGTTCCCTCCACTGTTTGTCCCAACACTGTTGTGCACTCTTCACTGGCCGTGTTGCGATTGGTTGATCTACAGAGCTGGTGGGCACTTTGACTAGTGCAGTAGAAGCAAGTCGACTTGATTGAACAGATTGATTGGTGCCATCTTAGTGCAAGCTTAAAGGCCACAAAGTTCTGGTGACATCGGACAGTATCATTATTTGCGCTCTGGTATCCACGGAGATACCAGATGGTTCTTGCATAGTAATTTGGGGGTCATTTGCACAGGGTATGTCTAAATGCAAGCTTGCCATTTACGTCCTGGGAGGCCAGCTTCGCGCGTGTTGATCCTGAGTTATGTGCAGTGATTTGGCGAGCATTGAAAAGTGAAGTTTTCGGAATTCGTTTCCGTGTTTGTGTTTGCTAACTTATCACTACACGTGTGATTTTGTGATGAAGTGATTTTTGTAAGTTGTTTAGGAAAAGTGGCCTGTTGTGTGTTGGTCGCGATGCGACATCTGTCTTCACAATTATATCATTGTGTTTGCCTGTTTCATAGCCAATGTAATTTTGACTAGTTTTACCTGCAAAAAATTTGAGTTTCAGCCTTCTTTCAAGAGAAACAAATTAGCGATGTGGCAAAGTGTTAATTTCTGAAGTAAGCGTGACGTCAAAAGGTAAGCACTCTTTTGTACATTGCATTATGACAAAGCTGTCGCCAGCAACGTGGTGGGGCTAAAAAAAGATTTGGTCGTTATCTTTTTGGAGCAGATTGGTGGTTCTGTCAAGGGGATGTGTTGTCATTACGTTTGAATGCACTTGCAACTGTTGCTTCCAACACATTGCCTTCCATAAAGGCTTTCCTTTGCACAGCCACTTTGAACAAAGTTTGGTCTCTTAGGTTTTGCACTACAGGCTTTTAGTGCCATGCGGTGCACACGTGACGTGGTGGGAATATGACACTCGAGACTACGGGTGTCAGCTTTGAACCAGACTCCTCTTAGCTGAAAATTGAAGTTTTTATTTGGGGAATGGTGTAAAAAGTTGGGACTGAGCACACAGTGCTACTGGCTAAAGCGTGCGAGCGTCGCTCGGAGTGGAATGTACGGGCTGTTGGGGATTGGAGGCACTTTCGGTGGCTTGGAAAACAGCTTGTTTTTCAGAGGTCATACCAGAATTTCACTGTTTGTGGTGAGAGACTGACGTGCTCAGACGTGTGTGGGTGAGAAAGAGATCTCAGGTATAGAAATGATGCCGAGCGAGCATCGCCTTGGAGTCGGTGCTAGGAGCAGCGCAGATGTTTACGAACACTAGTTTTACGTCAGACCATGCACATAAGTACACCCCCGGCTGTTCCCTTGTAATTGCAGTCTATGTGTTCTTTTTAATCAAACTGACAATGTATACGTGAGAAGCATAGTGCAATCAAATTCGTTTACTTCCATACATCTGTGTATTTTCATTCAGTGTGTAAGAAGGCGTATTCCTTATTACTGTAATATAGCCTATGTAAGAGATTTGGGTGGTGGTTTGGGGGTGTATGCTATAACACTCCACTAAAGGTGTGTTTCAGTTGAGATTATGTGGCCCTTACTCAAGGTGGCCGGGCCGTCTTAATTTCAAGTTTTCTTATGATCCACGCTTGTTTGTTTCTATGAGCTCCTCTTTTTCCATTGACGGCCGCTCTGTTTGTGGGACACTGCCAAGCTTTTCGTTCCGTCAGGTTATCATGAAAACATGGCTCACTGTAGTACGTTCGATTGAAGCATAGTCTTCAATTTTTCCGTTTTTTTTTAAGGCTCTCTTGTAATTTTCAAGCTGAGTGTGAAAAAGTCGGAGTACAACCCTTGTTAGAATATGCAGTTCCTTTTCAGACCATCAGACTTGAGCAGACCAGATTTGTCATCAAGTTTGTCTTTATTTTTTTTTTAAGATTGTTTGATTTTGTTCTTGTTGGCTCATATTTTTTTCAGTAGATTTATTTCGTCCATCATTTTCTCGTTGTGCTGGTGGCCTATCTACTCATGTAATAATGCCAGCCCGCGTTACCTTTAAAGCATTGGATTCTCGCGTTCATGACCATTACATCGCTTTCATGTCTTTCCAGTCATTCGCTCTCGTTTCTAGTTGCTCCCAGTTTAAGACCTGCATGATGAGAAACGTTGGTATTTCTTTTTTGTTTTGCACGCTGTGCATCGCTGGTTTAGATTTTAAATACAGTTGGGTATTTCTATTTTTTGTGTCATATTTGGTGTGTTTTTTTTTTACGTATGGATGTTGGGAGAGCTAGTGAGGCGTGGCTGGCTAAATAATTCTCGGTGATGTACGTGTGCATGAATCTCGTCAGGGGAGTGTGCAAGTACTTGCATAGTTCCGAAATATATTACTTTAAATATTTTTAATGGTTAGAATAGGATAAGAAAAGTGCACCACACAAAGTTTGGGTGTAGATATTTATTTACATTAAAGGGCATCAAAGTATTCATGAAATTTCTGTGGGTGACACGCAATAAATAGCCTAGCGTACCTGTTATGAAACCACACTAAGGTCTCGCCGACTCTTAACTTTAGTGAAAGCATTATCTAATAGTTTGCATCATCTAATCGGAATGTGAGATCCTCACTGTCTACTTCTAATTGGCCGTAATGGGAGTTTTACAGGAGAAACAGTTCTGTGCGATTGGTAGGTGTCCTGTTCTTTGGCACGGAAAATTACTGGCACGGAAAATTGGCAGACACGAACCTTAGCCGTTGCTCCAACACAGCTAGTTGGTGAGTTGAGATGTTTGGTTTCACCATCTCAACTGCTTCCAAAAGCTGCTTTACAGCTTCCATATTCCTGTGTTCTATATGCAACAGTTGCTAAAAAAACGCAAGGTCGGGTAAGTCATCTGGTAATTGAAGTGATGCACTTTTTATGGGCAAACCGATTTCTTCTTTCTGAAAAGCAGGATTGTCATGTGTGAACGCCCGCGCCTAGTGAACTGAAAATGAGATGCTAGGTGCTCTGTGTACGGGGTTTATTGAATCCTTGGCTGCAACACTTTCCAGCAAACAGTGAAACTTTCTTTGAGTGTGGAACCTTCTGTGTGATGGCTTCCACGCACGCCAGATGCAGAAAACGGAGAATGGAAACCGCTAAGTTGGAAAGGGGAACCTTAGCTTGTTCCAAATTTGTTCCTGTGGTGCAGTTTTTCGTGGAATCTGCAGTTGCTATGGAACTTTCTTGTACTCCTTGCCTTTGTAATTGTGTGGGAAGGAGGTTTCGTTGGACATGGAGGGTAGTGGAGAATTGTGTCCTCGGTATAAGTATGCTTTGGAACTGCTATTTTGATGGGCTGTTCATCCTTTTAGACTTGCTTGTGCTGAAAATTGCTGGTAGCTTTTATTCTGTGTGCAAACCTTCGACAACGCACTATGTTTTTTATTTTACAGAGGTCGCACAAAATTTATTTAGTACCTGAATTGTGCTATAACTAAGTTTGAAGTTCTGCTCGGTCATGGAAAGGACAACCCTTCAGTCTCGTAAAATGCTTCAAAGTTGTAGCGATTTCTGCTCTGCTTTGATATCTATCCACATATGTGTCAAAATTGCGATGTCAATCAACTTGCAGCTTATAGCAGCTATGTTGCATGTATGAAGAATGTTGGTGGAGACGTTTGGGCAGTTGTCTAAGTACTAAACATTTCTAACTCTGCTTCTCTATGGCGATCCATATCGGCTCTCCATGGCGATCGGGTAGCAGTGTCATTTTTTTCTTGTGTATCCTTTCATTGATATTTATAGGGAAATAAAAGGTGCTTGTATTTAAAGGCAGTATTAGTATTTTCTTGTGAATATGGAACATTTTTCCCGTCATGTTCTCGTGCATTATTTGTTGTTTCTAATTTTGTGAAGTGGCTTCTGTGATTCTGCATATCCTGTTGAAGTAACAGCAGTTTTTTTTTCGATGTGTGAACTATAATGTGCTCTCATGTTTAAAATACAAGTGCACATTTTGGCAAAATTCTTGCATTGCTCATGTGTTCTATGTCAAGTATTGCTTACTCAGGATTCAGACTGTGTACTCAATGTGACTTGTAAATACGCACCAAATATTGTTTATCAAATGTCTGCGGCCAGTGTCTGGGTTAGTCTTGATAAATTTTGTCACTTTCTGTTTTACAGCTGTCATCAGAATCGTATATTTTCTAAGGGGCCTACAGTGTTAATTTTTTTTGCATAGATTGATTACCATGTCTAGAGTAGCGTGTGAAGATCATGCTATTAGTTACGAAGTGAGCCTTAGTTACGCAGTGAGCCTTGCCTTGTAGTTCAGTTATTTCATCACGGGGACTTGGTGAATATGTTAGCATAAAGACAAACCACTTGAAATGTGTGTCTTTCTTTCCACCCGTTGCCATATTCTGCTGCATGCTTCTTTTTCAGATTGATCCCATATCCTGACCGATAATTTTGTGCACTGAAGTTGTGGGCGCTTTTGCTCAGTAGTCGTATACCATTCCTCGGAACGCTGTTGGAAGGTTGGCTTAGGTAAACAAAGGGGATTAGTTCGACTTCCAAAAATTTGGGAGTGCACGCAAATTTGTGGTGTAGAAAGGCGCTAGTTTGAAGCGAGTGTTGCTTCACGCTCGCTTCGGTTTTGAAGCTCATATTCTGTATGGAATAGTTGTGCGCAGTATAATTTCATTACAGATAAGTGCATGGAGATGCCGCCACAGCGGCTGTCGTTTTAAAGGTGGGCTTTCACAGACCGCGCTTTGCACTATTACAGGTCATTGCAAGCCTTGCATTTCTCGTATGTTCTACGAGGTTGCAGCGTTCTGATTTTGGTATCATACTTTTGGGTTCATTTCACTGTAGAATGATTTCAAGCATTCATATACTAACTAGGATTCTATCCCTTGTGATTTTACTGGTTAAGATAGTAGCAGGTGGGAAGTGTGCAAGTTCTTGTCGATACGGAAATACCAAGATGATTCTATGCTTGACTTGATGTACAATCGAAAAGTGTGCAAGTTGTAAATCCTTTTCCATTCTAAGTTGGCTCCCCCATATCTACCAGCCATCGTTAGTCACAATTAGCCCATGCGCAAGAGTGGTGTAGCACCGCAAGTCCGTACTGTACATAGTTTGCGTGGCTCGGGAAAGGTGCCGTTTTCACTATGGGAAAATTATGGTTGTGCTTATATTTATTCGTCCCACGACATGCTTAAGACGTGTAGAGTGGCTCACCTAGTGGAGCATCGAGAATAAGAGTGCCAGTCGTAGAATAAAGCAGTGTATTTTTCTTCCCTCCCGTCCTTCTATACACCGCAATAGTTTTATTTAGAGTACCGTTTAGGCAACGCAGCGTATCTGTCCTGTTAGCGGTGCGCGTGCAGCGCGTGCGTTGCCATGTTGAAGTTTGTGTAGTGGTTTGAAAACTCTGTAGTCAACCTCGTGCATTGTGTACATAAATAAAAGATGACATAGCTATCTCTGTGTGACTTCGTGCTTTTTTTCGTGCTTCGTTCATCAGTGTTGCTTGGTTGGTTGTTGGCACTTGTGGATTGTTCACATTTCATATCAATATAAGTTTTTTTTTTTCATTATGCCATTGAAGAGCCTGGACTATCACTGAATTGCCCTTGAAGGGTAAGGAAAACAGAAAAACTTGCGCTGGACGTGTTGGTATACTCTCATAGGAACACGAAAGCGTTTTTGGGCGGTCATTTTGAATGTGTGGAGAATGAAGCAGTTAGTATGCCCGATACACAATACACTCAATTTACACATCGAAACAGAAATGCATAACTGTGAAAGCTGTCATAACTGTCAAATTGTTTTTATAACATGCAAGTAACACAATGTGATTTCCACTGATAGCTGTGCATCATGTTAAACATCTGCACATTGACCCACACAAGTGATAAATTGCACTGCAGCGGACAATTCCATCTCGGTGTCGTCGTCCCCACTGGGGAACGCATCCTTCAGCACTCCAACTGCAAGTTCACGTTTAGCCTCGTTGCAAATATCGTCGATGCGAGACAACGATTCAAAACGAGGTGGCATTGCCACATTGGGAGGTGACTTGTTTAGACAGGCCTTCTAAGGGGTAAAATTCCAGCACATTTCCTGCACACCTTACCTTGCATTGTTCGCTGTGCCGTGCTTTCGTCGAAGTACGACTGTAGTTGCTGAAGGGGCGAAGGGTCAACCCACTATGTGAATGACAATTCGTAATACAAACGAAGAGGACTACCGCACCGTAAGAAACAGCAAGGTGACTCCGCGATGAGATATCTGTGGCATTCCCATACCAGGTAGTGTTTGGACACATATTAAATCATCATCATCATCAGCCTGACTACGTCCACTACAGGACAAAGGCCTCTCCCATGTTCCGCCACTTAACCCGGTCATGTGCTTGCTGCTGCCAATTTATACCCGCGAACTTCTTAATCGCATCTGCCCACCTAACCTTCTGTCTCCCCCCAGCCCGCTTGCCTTCTCTGGGAATCCAGTTAGTTAAACTTATTGACCAGCGATTATCCTGTCTACGCGCTACATGTCTGGCCCATGTCCATTTCCTCTTCTTGATTTCAACTATGATATCCTTCACCCCCGTTTGTTCCCTAATTCACTCTGCTCTCTTGTCTTTTAAGGGCACACCTACCATTTTTCTTTCCATTTCTCGCTGCGTCGCCCTCAATTTAAGCTGAACCCTCTTTGTAAGTCTCCAGGTTTCTGCTCTGTAGCTAAGTACCGGCAAGATACAGCTGTTATATACCTTCCTCTTGAGGGATAGTGGCAATCTACCTGTCATAATTTTAGAGTACTTGCCACATGTGCTCCACCCTACTCTTATTCTTCTAGTTACTTCAGTCTCGTGGTTCGGCTCCGCGGTTATTACCTGCCCCAAGTAGACATAGTCTTTTACAACTCGAAGTGCACTATTACCTATATCGAAGCGCAGCTCGAGATAGGTTGTTGTACATTACTTCAGTTTTCTGCAGAATAATTTTAAGACCCACCTTTCTGCTCTCCTTGTCTAACTCCATAATCATGAGTTGCAATTCGTCCCCTGAGTTACTCAGCAATGCAATGTCATCGGCGAAGCGCAGGTTACTAATGTACTCTCCATTAACCCTTATCCCTAACTGTTCCTTTTCTAGGCTTCTGAAAACCTCCTGTAAGCACGTGGTAAACAGCATTGGGGAGATTGTGTCCCCCTGCCTTACACCCTTCTTGGTTGGTATTCTGTTGTTTTCTGTATGGAGCACTATGGTAGCAGTTGATCCCCTGTAGATTTCTTGCAAGGTGTTTATATATACTTCATATATATTTAAATGGTATACTGTAAAGCACAGCTATTTGCATAGTGCTAATTTCGTTCTTCTGTCTTCCTCATCGTCGTCTTCTAGCTCCATGCGGAAGCCAAGTACAATAAATATATAAGGCCCCAAAGCACAATCACTGTCACCAGAGCCATGACCGTAAGCACAGAGTGCCTGCTTAGCCATTACTCGGCAGGTGGCGGGTGAGAGCAAAAAATTGCACCCGCCACTGGTGGTACCTGTCGCCCAGGTTGACGCCATCAGCTCTAGTTCAAAGAGCTGGGGTCAGGGCACAGAACCCGTCTCTATTCGAGCAGAAATGCACAAGAGATGAGTACCAAATTCAGTCACAGGGATCACGCCGTGGGTCGTGTTTTGATGCAGTAGAACTTTTTTCCCTTTGTGATGGCTTTTTGGGGACTTGATTTTTTCACGTTTGACGGAAGGATTACAATGTCAGTATATAACACAGACTTTTACAATACTTCTTTATTTGGAATGCGAAATCAACTGTATTATGTATATTTATATTGTCGGGCTCTTGTCGGTCTGCGGTGTTCGTCACGGGGACATTTGTGAATGGGAGAGACAAAGCGAAGCAATTGTTTCATGTACTATTACAGCTGATGACAGAATATCTTTGGCAATGGAGTGCAAACTACTAGGTATGCTTTAATAAGAACATTTTCTTAGAAAATTACTAGCTTTCGTTTGGTCTCAGAAAATGCGGCCTTAGGTTTTTTGCAGGGGCATCTTGAGGTGCTTGATTACAACATCAGGTCGCAAAATTCGACTCGAGGTGTAAAACATCATCGTGGTGACGTGCACATTCACGTCGTTTGACATGTTGGGTGGGAAGGCGATGCACGTCTGTAGTACGTCCACTAGCGCGTTAACGCAGTGTGTTCCCTAACCGTAGTGACCTCAGCTGGTGATATGGGAAATATATGTGGAGGGAATCGAGGTTGAAGTTAGTGGTTCTTCGAAGAGACTCAGGTTTGGTAAGTGATGCGGTGTCCGCTGGTGTACAACAGTGCAATATGTTAAACAGCTGCACGTTGACCCGCACAAGAAATACGTTGCGCGTGCCAAACAATTCCATCTCGGTGCCGTCGTCCCCACTGAGGAGTGCTTGCTCGATTACTCCAACAGCAAGTGCACGTTTAGCCTCGTTGCAAATATCGTAGATGCGAGACGAATTGTTCTTCAACATGTCTATCGCATACGCGGCACCCGTGTCCGAAAGCGCACTTGGATAAACTCGCGTCTGAAGGAACTCCCGCCGCCTCTGTTGAGGCGGTGTGGTACATTTTGTCGTTTCACAATGATTTCCCGTTTCCTGTCCACCGGTATTTCTTGGAACACGGCCTATATCGCTTCTGCCGTGGGAGCCGTGTTTCGCAAAATGCGCTCGAACGCTTCTTGTCCGCAGAGACCTTCGTTACATGCTCGCTCAGTCCGAGGGCTTTCTACGTCCGATTCCCGAAGTGTATTGCGGATGCATGCTTGGTTGCGTGTGTATGGAGACACGAAGGTGCGCCCGATCTCGCTGCAGGTTCTCTAACTACGACTTTGCGATGCTGGACCTGGCTTTCGGATAAAGTTAATATGTAATGCAGCATCTGTAGCTCTCATTCTTACGGTCATTTTCAAAACAACGAGGCGGCGTTGCCACATTGAGGGAGATTGGGGTTATAAAAGGGAAAAGAAGAGAAAAGTGAGCCCCGTAACTGTCTGCATCTAGTGCAACACGTCAACATTAGCTCACAAGGGATTGGGGTATGGAGGGATTAAAAGGATACGAATAAAGATATATATATATATATATATATATATATATATATATATATATATATATATATATATATATATATATATATATATATAGATCTCTTATTGATATCCAGTCCGGTGATATCAATAAGAGATCTGGCGGGCGAGGCTGATGGTTGCGCCCTGGACAACACAAGAATGCTTTGGACGTGGAGATAGCGGAAATCGCAGCCGGCATTCTTGTGAAGAACAAACGAGGTTCGATCACCTTACAGAATCGAATGTTCGGATATCGTAGGCATCGAATTCTTCGTCGTGGCACAGGCCGTGCAGGCAGCTTGCGTGCGCGTTGATCTAAGTTGATTGGGCGCTGCCTGTGTTTCTGCCGAGTACAAGGGGTGCTTTTGTGGCTTTTGGAGATTTTTCTATGGCGATGTCGCAGATTTTTTGATGGAAGGCACATTCTTGATCTTTGGTGGAGAATGTATCCACCACGATGGGCCTTTTCGCAATGTTCTTTAAGCCTTAAGAGTGCTCTCGATGAAGCTTTGTTTCGTCGTTGACAATGTTGAAGTATACGTTGACGTTGTAGTTTCTTGGTTTCGTCAACTTGCTTGTGGTCTGACGTTGATCGTGCTGCGCCAGGATTCTTAGCGAGTCCTCCGCAGGCTTCTACGACGCCAACCAATGCTGCTGTTTTCGGCGCAAGACAATGTGGCGGGTTTGGCGCACTTGAATCTTCTGTATTTATAAACCATTCATTGTTGGTGGTTGCCTGAAGAGTACTTATGTCATCAGAAGTCGCGCCTGCGGTTTTGTTTTCACTATAGGCAGTGAGATTGTATACTGGATTCACGTCACTTCGATATTGTGATTGATGAACACTCGACGGTTCTGCAGAACACTTTTCTTCACAAGATGCTGATTTTGAATGCTTCTGTTTTTGTGGAACTGCTGAGCTGAATACTTTGAACAAATGATGTTTCTGTGAACATTCGTTGTCTGGTTTGGTTTCATGCGGATTTACTAACTCGTCATGCGTAAATGCCGTCACGCATCCGAAGCCGTGTGGGCCATGTGTGTGACACGAAGCATCAAGTGATTCGGGTTGTTCAGTAATACCTGGAGTGTTATGGTGCCGTAAACACATTGGAAATGGCGATTTGATCGCCCGTGAAAAATCCAACCGTAATTTCAGTTTTTTGGCAAAATGGTCTACATTCCTATCGGAATACGGTGGCATTACCTTCTCGGCTGCGACGTGCCAGTCCCTAGTTGGCGTTGTAATGCGTGAAGTGTATTCGGACGAGTCATATGATGGTACAATGGTGGGATATCTACTCTCAAGTCTTGTTTGGGAAATACGCTTACTGCGGGAAGACT